CAAATATCTCAAAAACGGTACCATAGAATTAAAAATAACCTTGATTTTCGGAATCAGGGGGGGATTTTACATAAGAATTTCATAACGGCGTTTCTGGTAAAGAGAAAAAGTTGAAATTTGTGGTCCAGTGTAGTTATTCTTCAATAGACGAAAACAGAATTAATGGAAAATAAATTCAAATTTATGGCTTTTTTTTCTACCGACAAATCTCATTGCCCGCTTCGCTCAAGCAGCAAGAAGAGGGCAATGAAAAGGAAAATTTTTTTTCTACTTGTGTACTTCGGTACAAATACATATGTATGTACATGCGGAAGAGTCAACATCAGACTGAAAAAATACCAAATTGACCGCTTATTAGAGCTTCGCGTTTTTTTCATAACTAGACATGTTTGAGTGTCCGCGTCCGTTTATCGAAAAGTCCATGTATGGGAGAGCTTTTTGTATGCTAAACACCAAAAATTGTTCGTTGCCAGGAATGTGTCCGCTTATAGGAGATGTCCGCTTCTTAGAGCGTCCGCCTATGAGAGCTTTCACTGTATGTAGAAATGATAAACATAAAAGTAAAAACAAAGAGAAATATAAAGAAAAAGATGAGGATGAGGTTACCGATAAAATTAAAGATGAAGATAGAAAAATAAAGATTAAAATAAAGGTAATTATAGAGAAAACGACATAAATAGAGACGCAGAGACTTAATCTGGGAACTATTTTGGGATTTTAGAAATTTCTGGGATTCTCGGGACTTATAGATATAATAATGGATATTTTTATTGGGTTTGTTATCGATATTTTGTCATAGACATTTTTATCGATATTTTAGGAACTTGTCGATATAATAATCGATAATTTTATCGGTTTTGTATTCGATATTTTAAACGATTTTGTTATCGATACTGTTATTGCTTTCGTTAGCGATATTGTTATAGATGTTATCGATATTTTTATCGAATCTGTTATCGATTTTGTTACCGATTACTTACTTTTTTACTATTAACTTATTAAGAGTGGTTTTCGGCTCAGTTTAAAAATTTCAAAATAAAAACGGTTCTGATCGCAGTTCGGATCGAAGCCCGAAAAAAGCGGCGATTCGGCACGAAAATTGACTCAGTTCAAAACCGGTTTGTAGCCCTGGTTGTAATTAGGAGTGGACATAAAACAGACACATAAATACTATCTGTATATTCGGGTATCCGTTGCGATATTCGTGCATACGGGTTAAATCTGGAAATCCGGTTAATATTCGGTCATTTCTGTTATCAAGATATCAGGTTAATATCCGTCAAGTTGGTTATCCGGATATTGTAAAACGTTTTTGAACGATTCTTAGGATTATTCTTAAAATGATTGAATCTGTTAAGCTGAAAATAAATACATAACACTTCATTAATACACAGACAATTGTTATTTGATTTTTATTTTTACATACAACAATTCGGATATTCGGATTTTTTAATCAGGTACTCGAATATACGGATATAACTTCCAGCCCCAATAAATGCTTGATTTCAAATGTTACCTGTTAAGAACTACACTTAAATTAATTAGATATAATGACGCAAATAAACAAATTCTAATTATTATAAAAAACACCAATTTATTTAAATTAATTTTACTGACATTGTATCAACATAAAGTAAATTAAATTTTTAATTTCTACTTTCTGCTTTAAGTATAACATTTGTATCGATAAAATATGCGCTTTATGGGTTATGAATATGTATGTATATATGTATAATTGCTATTAAATATAGATGCATTTGCCTTATTTGCGCATAGAAAAACTAAGCGCTGGAACGGCCGGCATATTACGTCTAATTGTTTATGACATCGTGCTTATAAATGCATATATTTGAACTTGTACTACATATTTATGTACATACATATGTAAGTGTACAATGTATGTATGTAGATGTGCAGGTATAGTCAATATTTTTTACCATAGTAAGCCGGTTAGTTTGCTTGGTTGTAAATAAAATTACATGAAATTATATGCGAAGCAATTTCGTTGCATAGGAATGTGTCATAAAACCAGCTACACGAATGCATCTAAACTCAGAAGCCGGTCAGTTGCAGTCGTGTTAAAGTGCTTTCGAAAAAACATATAGTAAACTAAGAATTGGAAATTTGAAAACAAAAACTGTGAAGCAGGTGCGCGTAGAGTATCATAAGCCAAATAGTGCCAGCGTGTGGTGAAAACCATTTTAAAAATATTGTTTTTTTTTTTTTTTTTGAAGAAATTCACTTAAAATGCAAGTGAAAGAAATCCTGCGTTGCACATACATTTTGGCATTGTTTTTGTGCTCTGTGGCTGCTCAAGAGGAATCATCTACAGCAGCAACAGAATCGTCATCAACAACCACAGATGCAGCAACGGCCACAAATGCTGCTAAAGGGTTAAGCACTGCAACTTCTACTATTACTACTACCACTAGTAGCGCTCCTGTCACTTCAGATCCCGCCAGCAAGAGAACAACGAGTGTTGAGGTGGCCAGTGCTAAGAGTACCAGTGCTGCTGAGGACCCGTCGCAGTCGAAGAAATATTTTACAGGTAATAAAGCTTTTGTGTCAAAGTTAATACAATATCGAGGTTAAGCCATATGCTGTATTGATTGGTTGAGAAAAGAAGCGGCAATTATTGGAACATAAGCTAAGAAGTAAGCATTACGAATCACGCACCCAATGAATAAGTTTACAAATAAAACACGGTGCTACAAAAAAAAAAAAAAAATCTCGAAATACACCCGAAAAAAAGCCTAGTGTAGATTGTAGGTATGGTCGAGTACAACATGAAAACAGGTCCCGTATAGTTCCTTTATTAAAAAAAATGTTTTTTTTGTTCTTGATGCACTTATCTATTAAAAGCTTGACTATTTGATTATTTTTCCTCAAACATATATTATGAAAAGAGGATTTACCATATAAGCCTTTAAAATGTTGTATAACAATCTATCGGCACACTTAGATTGTTGGGAGTGTTCATGGCGTATAATTTAATTTTTATGAAAGTTGCCCAATATGTAGTATTTATCTAAAATTACTTTGATTTTGGAATAAATTGTTATCTCAATCAATAAAATCGGATAAAAATTGTAGAAGTTAGAAAATTTTTTCTCAAATGTATGTAAATAAAAGTTGAACACATTAAGCTCTCATCCCCTAGAATTTTTTTAAGTGAAATGGAATGGAGAGAATACTCCCAATTTTTTGTTAAAAACAGATATTAACAACTGCTTCAAAGCCCATGAAGTTTTCCATGTATCTTATATGGGGAAAAAACACTTTTTCGTAGAAATGGTATAGAATTCTTGGACATCAATATCTTTCGTTCGGAAATCTCCGTTTCTCTGCAGGAGGCTTCTAATAATAATAATACCCAATATTTACCATTTTTGATAGTAACGATTTTTCATGAGTCCCCACATTGCATTTTTAGGGTTTTTTTTTAACAAAAAGATACGGGTATTGTTTTTTTTTCATTTAGAAAATTCCTAGGGGGTTAGAGCTTGACATTTTAAACTTTTTTCATGTATTTTTTACCGTAATTATGTACCTTTTACTTTAACACCCGACGCCAGAGGGAAAAAATATTTCATCTCTCACCTTGTACCCCTTATTTATAGGTTTTTTAATTTTTGAAAAAGCATGTTAGGGTTAAAAATGAATTAAAAAATTTCAGCAGGACCCGCAATGATTACCGATTCCATAAAATTGGGTTCAATTATTTGACTATATTTAATTGAGATTTTATGCTACTTTACTCGACCATTTTATTTACATTTATTAAATTTTTAACATATTCGATAATTTTTTAATTATTTTAATACACATTCGAATACTTTCTTATTTATAAAATACGAGTACATATTATAAGTGCTGGTACATGGTAAATAAATTAGAAAATTGTTGGCCTATGTTGCCAAACCTAAGAAAGATTTTTGCCCTTAAAAGCTTTGAAATGAAAGCTGCTGTTGTTACGTTGCGGTTTATTAAATTGTTAGATCTTAAACTAAAGTAAACTTTTGTCCTTCAAGAGCGCTTCGAAAATTGGCCAAACACCCGGCTCAGATCAATTAAAGTTGTAAGTTCCACACTACAATTCTTATATGTGTACATATCTAACCGAATGTTCATATGTATGTTAGTATGTATATACGAACTTATATTCACTAAATGTACCCTGTAGGGAACTAAACCAACTATAAATGTGCTGCTATCAGTTCACTATTCTGTAACAAGGGGTGACTATACCCCGACTACTTTACGGTACTTTTAACTGAATACATTTTCAAGGAAATAAGTCAGTTTGTTTTCAACTAACTACAAACCGGTTATTTATAAGTTGACTAGTAGTGTGCCAGTTAATAGAGTATTTTTAGTACTGCCGGATTTCATACTTCTTTTAGCGTATAGTACAGAAGGATTCTACGTACAATTCTAAGCGAATTTGCCGAAGCAACAATGAGTTTAAAGTCAATTTGGAGTTTGCCATTTGCTGTATGTAGCGTCGTAAAGAAGAGCTTAAATTTTGTATATAAACATGCTATAAGGGGGGTTTTTTTTTTGGCATGACGAATCCTTTTGTGTACTGATATTTTTCTTAAAACTTCCACCAAAGGGCTCAACACGTAAAGAAAAAATAATTGCATGATACAAAAAAAAAAAAATGAAGGTAGTTTAAATTTTTTTGCCATAAACTGTGCTTATGACGTTTATACTGTTCGTACTCAAGTAGCACTGTCACCTCAACAAATTATTGTCTTCGAAATTTTAATATTTTTTTAAGGAATTTTTTTATTAATTACAAAATAATAACACGCAACATAAATTTACTTGATTCCTCGTATTATAAGAGCTGTTAATAATAAATTACCTTAGCGCAAAAAAATTTGCCACTAGCTGCAGTGTTATATGAAATATTATATGAGTAGTCCACTTGCAAACAGCGTTATGTGATTTTATAATAGAAAGCTATAAAACTATGCCCAAAATATATATTTTTAAATAATTTTTGAAATATTCTTTTAAGTAAAAAAAAAAAAAACTTTTTTAATTTCTAAAAAGAATATAGCGGCTTCAATTTAAAAGAAAATGAGCAATGGCGAATAAGAAGAAGAATAATAATCTTTCATTAATAATAGGTTTTTTCTTTTGAAAACAAATATAGTTATTTCTTGGGTTGAGCCATGCATGAATTTGAAACCAATTAAAAGTTACCCGTAATTATGGGCCAAAAGTTAGCTACTCCCAACAGGGTATGAACGTACATGTATGTACATACATATGTAGATACATTACGCGAGTATGTACTTAAGCTATTCACTTGCGCAAAATTAAAAGGCCTAGACAAAATTTTGCTGCGTCAAACTAATAAATTCATATTCGTAAAAAAACTGATCTTAGAATGGATAATTGTAAATTTGTAAGCACGTAATCAGCGCATATCAAAGGTCATATTGTGCGCTTGAAATGCTGCCTTCGAAGCAGCCGACCTTCACTTGAATGGCTGCTGAGTGGCTATAATAAGCGTCACAGCTGGTGCTGTTATTATAGCGTTAGATGTATACATACATATGTATGTAATATTGTACGTATACATACATACTCGTACATCAATGCTTATGTATAGCACACGTGCGCGGTTGGCTGTGTTGCGAGATACATAAGTCGTTGTAAATATATACCTATTTACAAATGTATCGCATGAATAAAGAAAAATTACAAAATACGCGAAAGAATTTTCGCGCTAAAAATTGAAAAAAAAAAGAAATATTATTGCGTTTGATATTAATGAATATTTTCATAGTAGGTATATGCGTATGTGTGCCAATGTAATAATTATGCAATAATTTGATCCATCATTGTGTTTTTCAAGCGTTGTTGAAACAATTAAGTAAATACATGTCAATTTTTTTTTAAATTCTATTCAACAATTTTTTTTTTTTTTAATTCAATATTTTTTGCTGGTAAATTTACCACGAAGTTTGCAGCTTTTGTTTGTACCGAAAATGTTATTGAAATCTAATGGTCGTGCGTAATAACGTGAAACAGGAAATGAAGCATAAATGAAATGTGGTTGTGTCAAGCGCGAAAAAGTTACTCATACGACACGGCAAGCTACAACATAAACGCTGGTAATTAAATTACACTACATAACTTGCTTGCTTGTTTATTTGCAAATTGTGAAATAGTAAAATTGCTAGCCGTATTTTTGCTCAAAAATTAGTTCAATAATTAATTACTAAATAAAATATATTTTGATTGCCTTGCAATGCTTTTATTTTTGCTAAAATGCGCTTATACAGCTATGGTCAAAGATTTAGCACCAAAATTTAAAATTATATTGTTTGTAACTTATGTTTATTTGTTTATTTTTAATAATTTTAATTTTAATTATAATTAAATTTATAACAGAAACCGCCATAGTAAAAGTTTCAAAGCTTGGACAAATTTCAGAAAAAATTAATCAAACTTCAATAAACTGTCATCAAGATTTCAAATTTTTAAATACGAATTTTTTAGGGTATGCAGTTTTTTTTGTCCACTCAATTTTAGATAGTCCGATAAAGTGCAAGTTTCAAATAACTAAAAACTGCCGTTGATTTTTGAGATTTTTTTACATATGAACAACATCTATTTTTATATGGAAGAAAATGCGCAACACTCTCGACAAAAGAAATTGCACTTTATTTGCATCAAAACTGCATACCCGAAAATTTTTCTAAAAATTCTGATTAAAAAGTTTGATGTATGTATGTATATCTGTGCCATTTTCTCAAATAAGTCAAAATTACGTTTTTATTATAGTGTTACTCCTTAGATTTTTGTGTTATAATAACATATATGACTTATCGATAGAAAACTCGATGTATTTATCGATGTCTACTGAATGTGGTATTGTTACTAGGATTTGATTTCCTGTTTGCAAACTGTTATGTGGCTTTTAGTTTAAAGCATATTTAAAGTACACTGAGAGAAAAAAATGAAGTGTTTTGCACTTCAAGGATGCTTTTTCATAATTATGATAAAAAATAATAATATTTATATGCTGCCTGCAATGGGATTTGAACCCTGACCCTCTGGAAATTAACAAATTTGGCAAGCACCTTTGCGCACTCAGCTACAGCCAGACATGTAAATGTGCTTTCAAATGTTGATTATTAAACAAGTCATTTTTAGCAAAAAAAAAATCGACTTAAAAAAAAATATATATATATATATATTTCATGATCCAATGATCGGATCTAAACCAGATTAGTGTATGGGACCACCTCTGAGACACTACCTTTCCGATGCAAAAATAATTATCGAAATCGGTTTGACGTGGCCCAAAGTTATGCGGTAACATACATAAAAAAAAATGTTCCGACGAACTGATAACCTCCTCCTTTTTTGGAAGTCGGTTAATAAGAACGTCAGTGAATTCATACTATTTTTCTTAATATTAAATACAACGCGTTTTTTCTCTCAGTGTATGTTAACATATAAATATATTCTCAATCAAAGCTCGTTCGTTAATTACACAGTCAAATCTCAGATTATTAGCTGTCAAATTTGTTGTGCTTGTTTTACGCACAACTCAACGAAAAGTTCAATTTCTTTTTTGTTCCACTGTGATCATTTTTTTCTGCTAAATAAAGCAATTTAAATATATTGTAACTTAATATTTTTTTTTTGAAAATACCCTTACAACCCTTTTTTCCCTGCAAGCGTCTATTTGTGTTTGCCTTCACATTTGACATTTCTATTTTTCTTAGTAAAAATAATCGATAAAACTTGGTTGGACACCGAAAAGTTATCGATTCGAACTAAGATTATTTCATAATTACAGATTAACGTGCGCAAAATTTTCTATGGCTAATCTTTATTGTTGATTGGAGAATAGGGAATTAAGCTCGAAAATGAGGATAATCTCTAAATGTGTTAAACTACTATTAATCTCTTCAGCAGAGGGTCAAGGTTAATTTGTGAAAGCAAATTTTATCTTCCTCTTTTCTCCAATCTTCAATCTCACACTAATCATTTTTTGCACTCTTTCAGCCGACGACCTGCCAGTTTGCAAACAAAGCAGTCCAGAATTCAACAATTGCGTGAAAAATCTCTTAGAGGAATCCATACGCCGCGTTAAAAATGGCAACAAGGCGCTGAATATTCCCGTAATCGATCCTTTCCGCCTCAATCGCACCACTTTTCAATACACAAATGGCAATGTACGTGGACGTATTGCCATGCTAAATGGACTCACATATGGCTTCTCTAAAACGGAAATCAAAACGCTTGACTTGAAAGTGATTGATGGCAAAATTAAGATGAAACTACTATCCCATGTGCCAGAGATAAGAGTTGTGGGCAATTATAAGGCCGAGCTTTTGCTGAATAATGTACAGCTGCGACCAAGGGGCGAATTCAATGTGTCATTGGGTGAGTTTGTATAGCGGAAAAGTAAAAAAATAACTTTATTTAGCGCCAATTGAAAATTCTTCACACAGTTGACGTGGATATTGACCAATTGTACGAGGGTGGCTTCTATGAGGCTGACGGTCATCGTTTTGTGCGCATGACGAAATTTGACGCTGAACCTAAAGTAAAGGATTTTAAGCTGTCAGCAAGTGGCCTATTTCCTGATCCAACATTGAGTATGTAGTGAAGAGTATTTAAATTATTTGTTAATATGAAATTAACATTTTCGCAGATGAACTGGCGTTGAATATTGTGAATCAATATTGGCGTCAAATATTTCAAGTTTTCCTGCCCGAAACACGCCAATATTGGGGACCAATGTTGCTGCGGCAAATCAATCAAATAATGTCTGTTGTGCCATATGATGTTTTTGTTGTAGATTAGTCTTCAAAAGACAGCAGTAACCGAGTATGTGCTAATTCAGTCGGCACATTAAGTTAAGCAAGTTCGTAGCTTAAGTCTTTTATTTCAACAGCCGATTTATGTACGTTTTGTTGTGAGTATTCATTTGTATAATAAAAATTTGTTAATATTTATGTTAGTTTTTTTTTTTTTGGGCCGAGTTCGAGTTTAAGAAGGATAACCTGTGAATTATTGCAATTTTTGCTGCATCATCAAAATTTCGATTGAAAATATTACCTAGTTCAGGACTTTCAAAGTTTACGTATTTAACAAAATTGCACAAAATAATGTAATTCCGAATTAGTGATAAAAATGTACTAAGACTGTCACAAAAGGTAAATTTAAAGTAAAATATGCATTTTGAGCAAGAAGCAGACAAAGTCATAAAAATAAATACTTAAATATTAAATACCAGTTAATGCAAATAATTTAATTTATGCATACATATACCTACATATGAATGCAAATATAACAATGTTTCAAAGTACTTTTATATTTGCATATAATTACATTTAAATATTTGTCGTCTCTCATTTAAATAGGTTTTTCAATCTAATTATTTTTCCATGCCCACATTTTTTCCCAGACATCTGTCAATTGCAACAGCCTGCCGCATTTAATGTCTGAATTAGTGTGCTTTGACTGCATAATAAATTATTTTTAATTTAATTAGCAATCAGACATGCAAACCGATTTATATGCATTGCTATAAATATTTATTTGCGAAAGTTTTATTACACTGCACATTTACGATTGACTTATGGCTGGGATTGGTGTACATATGAGAATCTTTTTTTAAGCTTTAAGCTTAGTACCGTACATAAATGGATCTGCTAAAAAGCTACAATAAAAGCAAATGCATTTACACTTAGCTAAGCTGAAGAAAAGACACAAAAATAGAACAAACAAATCGGATGCCGAAGTTCTACATCCAAAAAGCGCGACATAAAATATTGCATATATGTCGATTAAAAACTGTAGTTGTGATAGTTTTTTTCGAGCCCAAAATATTTATATATTTCCGCTAATTATTTATAAAACTACGGTTCATTCTCCACAAAACAACACAAAAATATAATTTCTAAACTTTGTGCAAAACTCAATTCAATAAATTTTCCACTTTTTAATCAGATTTTTTCGAATTTCCTTGAGTATGGAGTTTTGTAGCCCATTAAATTCTAGTATAAAAAAATGCATGTTCAGAGTTAGTAAAAAATCGCATTGATTTTTGAGACTTTTTTTGTTCAAGGTGTTTTGCATTTTTTCCATATAAAGCAATTTGGTTTTTTTTTTTTGTATGGAAGAGACTGCGTGAAAAAAATTGCCAAAAATTAACATTATTACAATAAAATGGATTGGGCTACAACTATGCATTCTCAAAAAAATTCTAAAAAATCTGATTAAAAACTTGAAAATTTGAACAAGGTTTGCTGAATATTCGCGAGTTTTGCACAAACTTTAGAAATTATATTTTTATGTTTTTTGTTGTAGAATTAACCATATTTTTATAAAAAATTTTGGGAAAAATATTACAATAAATATTGTTGCATATATTGTACAAAAGCAGCTGTGCCAATACTTTTTGTCGGGAGTGTACAAGCAATAAATTAAAACAAGTGGATTTTTTCCAAACCTTTTTCTTGCTATTCATTGTAGAAGCCGCTGGCTAAAGATTGTAGAACACCATATGTATTCGAAAGGCTTTTATTTGCTTTCCAGCATCGGCGAATTCGGCTTAGCAATACATCGACTGATGAGAAATATTTTCCAATGCTCGGACAAGGACGCGCTTCAAAGACTCAACACTTGGAGGTCGAGTATTGCATGCCATGGCTTCTAGAATGAACAGTAATTTATAGTCCAATCGATTGATGAGCCGTGAAAACGAAGTTCGAAATACGATTTGGTTTCGATTTTGCGCTATGAGTTGGGAGGCGGCCACGTTGAGCCCTCGCAACGAGTGCGGACGCTTGGCGTTCTGGTTATTCAACGACTCTTCCACAGAAAAAATTTCCCCGTTCGTAAACAGAATTCTCTGTGATCGTTTTTCACGTACCGGTGAAGCAGGTTTTGCGATTTTGGCTTACATTTTTGCCTCAACTCCTCTGTAAGTATAAGTGCCTGGGCTACCCCGATTTTGATATAATTTTTTTTCAATAGCAAGATTTTCAGCTATTGTTGAATAAATTACTATAAGTGACCATAAGGTGAAGGTGCAGGGTTGGTATTTGCAGGGGTAGTAGTCGAGAGTTCCAGCTTTAATTTAAGCCTAAGTGGAAGAATCTATTACCTACTTCTCAAATATTGCAAAACCGCGATTTTTTGACTACATTTTCTGAAAATCTGGAGCTGATGGAAACTTTATATTTACGCATTCGTAATCAGCACAATAAAGTCTATCAAAACCAGCTTTAACATTTGCCGCATCAAAATAAGTGTTGCCCTGTGTAATTCAGTATTACTTCCAAAAAGTTTTGGTACCAAGTTTTAAGTACATAACAACTGTCTAGCTTCCGACCTTCCTTTTTTCTATTTTACACTGCCGCTTCGTTGTGACATATACGTTTTGTCAAACCCCGCGTGGTTTTTAATGCTTTCTTAGCTACATATATTGTATGTATGTATGTATATATGTATGTAGATTCCACTCATGCATTTTAAAATGATACATCACTTAGCAAAAGTGTCACGCTTCACCTTGAAAAGAGATAAAATCCAAGCAAGGGGTTCTTTTGCTTTTATTTGCGAGAGCACGTAAATGAAATGCATAATGGAGAAGCATTTCCTTGATATGGTTGCATTTGTGAGTATTTTTTAAATAATTACATACCAATATATGTACATATGGAATGTAAAGAGAGACATAAATATGCATGCCAATATTACGAATTGGAACAATTGTAGTCATTTTAGAAAAAATGGTAAAATATGTCACACGAATAGAATGTCCTACAATTTTACGATGGTTTTTTTGCATGGTAGACTTGTGATCCCTTTTAGAAATATTTTGTTTGAAGTGAAACTTCTTTTTGTACACAAAATGGTGCAACCGAAGTTGCATACGGAAACGGTTGGGACGTAAACAACTGCTTCTTGAGTGTGTGAACATGGTATTAATTTACCAAAAACTTGCAAATAAAAGTTTAAAGAAAGCACTAAGAGAAAGACCAATACAAGAATGAAAATAAGGGTGAGTACGCACATGGATAAAGAAAATGATAAAGGCAAAGCTGAAAATAAAACCAAAGATGCGTAAAGATAAACGCAAAAATTAAGATCAAGGTAAATTTAAACACTTTACTTATATAAGGGCAAAGGTGAAGGGGAATATGTAGAAAAAAAAAGATAAACATAAAAGTAAAAACAGAGATAAATATAAAGAAAAATATGAGAATGGGGGTATCGATAAAAGTAAAGAGGAAGAAAGATTAAAATAATGGTAATTCTAGAGAAAAGGATATAGATAGAGACACAGACTCAATCTGGGAACTATTTCGGTATAATAATCGATATTTTCATCGGTTTTGTTATCGATATTTTTATAGATTTTGTTATCGATATTTTTTGATCGATTTTGTTATCGATACATTTATCGATATTGTTATCGCTTTGGATATCGATATTTTCGGAACTTATCGATATAATAACCGACATTTTTATCGGTAAATTTTTTTGTTATCAAAATTTGCATAGATTTTGATATCGATTTTGGTATCGATATTTTTAATCGATTATGTTATTGGTTTTGTTATCGATATTTTTAGCGATTTTGTTATCGATTTTTTATCGCTATTGTTATCGATTTTGCTAACGATATTTTTTCCGAAATTTGTTCTCGATATTTTTATCGATTTTGTTATAAAATTTTTTATCGATTTTGTTATCGATGTTTTCATCGATTTTGTTATCGATATTTTTTCCGATTTTGTTATCGATATTTTTTAGTCGATATTTTTAACTTATCGATTTTGCTAACGATTTTGTTATCGATTTTGCTAACGATATTCCAATCGAATTTTTTATCGATTATATCGAAATTTTTATCGGTTTTTATAGATGTTTTATCAATTTTTTGATCGATATTTTTTATAGATTTTTTATCGATTTTGTTATCGATATTTTTATCGATATTGTTATTGATATTTTTTTTGGTTTTGATAGAGTATAAAGATAAACCCAAAGATAAAGGAAAACAGGATAACATTAATGTAATTAGAACGAACAAGGTAGAGGGAGCGATCTAGATAGAAAAATGACAAAATATGTAACCTTAAGCAAAAGTAGATGTATGTGTGTACATATGTATATTCGTTAAGAGATAAACTAGATATGTAACGTTTCACTGCTCCAGTGTGGCCCAGGGTCCTCCTGAGTGTTTTTACCAGTAGTATACGGCAGAAACGAGAAATATTACTTCAATTAGATCTTTTATTGACTCTAAGACGTTTGTTGATGACAAGAAGGAAAACTACTCTCCCCATGTCCTACAAAAACACTGATTCTATGATTTGGTGCTAGCAAGTTCAATGTGAACTGTTACCTTCGTAATGCATAGCTATCTTATCCCGCAGAAGTTAATCTACCCATAAAAGTGCTGTCTTAAACTGTTTGGCTGTGGTTATGCCACCAATTTTGACTGGTAAATAGAAGAGAAAAATTTCGGTGATTGGTGAGAAGTGGTTAGGCTCTGTGTGACGATTGACAAAGAAATGCCTTTTTCATCTCATACGATTTCGCACACAATGGCAGCACTAAAGTAAAAGTGCAACTAAAAATGCATCGAAATTTATGTCGGCAAATGAAAAATGGAAGACCAACTTAATAGCTTTTCTTTTTTTTTAATTTAATTTTTATAATAATACTTTATGTAGGTAGTATTTATTTTATAATACTAACATAAAAATATTTTTTAATATTTAACACTAATACTTTTTCGGAAAATAGCGTATTGCCACCCTGAAAGAAGCTGTTTGCTTCATACAGAAAATTTGCGAAAATTCTCTCACTTGGTGTTGTGCACAACAACAATTGCACGGTGATTGCCAATCGAAATTGTTGCAAAACCACGGCCTTACAACAAAATCCAAAATCAATGTTCGTTTTGGTGATCAGATGTCAGTTGGATGGCTGAACATTCTTTGTTTGAACCAGCTCATAATCCGTGGTTGGCGTTTTGATGATAGACAAATAAAAGAACCTACAGCTTTACGCCGCAGCCGAACCTCAGATGGATTTTTATCAGAAGCGTTTGCATGAAAAAATAACAATAGCTTAATATAAGAATAACCACTTTGAATCACCTCGCATCTCTAACGACTGGTCTACAGCGGTCTCCGCACTATTCAATAATAAACAATGAATATTTCAATTATTTAGACTCAACACATCGGAATTCAACACTTTGGACATTGTTCTGTTCTAAGGCCATTAAAGAACTATATAATATGGACAAAATTTAAAAACATTACCAATTATTGTTTTTTTTTTTGTATTGGTAAAAAAAATTGTGTGCGAAAACCTAATAAAATATTATTTAAAAATTCTTTACTACTCTTGCTAAAGAAAAAAAAAAAAAAACAATTTTCAGTTAGCATGCTTCAATGAATACTTTGCATGTGCGCACGAGCCACCAAAAACAAAAATCTTGCTACATAACTAGCATGCCATCATAAAGCGCTGAATGAACTTTACTCCACTATTCACTGCCTATATGAATATTTATGTACATAAGGGTAGTCCAAAAAAAAAGGTAAAGAGGTAAAGGCGGAATTTTATTGCTCTAACCCCCTAGAATCGTTCTATTTGGAAAAGGTATACCCCTGTTTTTTTATTTTGAAATCCAAAAAAATTTAGAGGTAAAATAGATAATTGGCAGTCTTCTGAAGAGAAACAAAATTTTTCGATAGAGAAATGTTGATGTTGAAGAATATGATTTCTTTGAAAACTTGTTTTTTTCCATATAAAATACATGGACAACTTTGTGCGTTTTAAGCGACCTCTAAATATTTTTTTTTTGATTTGGGTATAGAACAATCCTAGGCGGTGAGAGCATTAAAATTCCGACTTTACTTTGTCACATGCATTTTTGGACCATCTTAATGTATGTACATATGTAGGTAGTTAAAATAACTATTAATTTTTAAAACATTGATTTGTCTCTTGAACCCTCTCAACTGTTTTTGTAGAAAAGTTTAAACTCAGGTTTTGCATGGCTTAGCATAAAAAGCAAAGTTCAAAGATAACTATAAATTTTTTCCACCGCACTAACTAACTATGTGGACGTTTTAAATAAACAATAAATAAGAAAATTACTGCTTTTTCGTTCTTGCAGCTATTTTGTCTCTAAAAATTGTTGCAATTTAATTTATAAATAATTTGAATTAAATACAACTTAGCTTGACCAGCATTTCAAAATAAAGTGCGTTACTACTTAAAAAGCAGTGCCATTAGAGTTAAGCGCAGAAATCAATACATACTCTTTAGCGAAAGCCGTTTAAAAGCCTGCACGCTTTTTGAATATCGTTTTAATTGGCATAGTTCATTGTGCCAATCTATGGATTAGCAACTGCAATTAGTAAAACGATTGCTGAAAAGTATTGCAAAAAAAAACCCAGCGGTTTAGGAAATGCGCACAGTTTTAGTTAACAATTGGCACGACCTTCATTAAACAATTTTACAGCGAATCAAAATATATATTTATATAATAGTATTTTTATGAGAAGCTGTTTTTTATGGCAGAATTCACTCAAGAGGCTTGCCGTTGCCAAGCCGAAGGGCGACCGATATTAGAAAAAAAGATTTTTCTTTTGTTTTTTATGTCAGTAAATAAATATATATATGTATGTAGATATATAACCAAATTTAAAGACAAATATGGCGGTCACCGTTAACGAGTGGTTTGTGGTGTGTACTATGTAACATTCGGTAGCACCCAGATTCAATCTCTGGTCGGCGTAACAACCATAACATACCCAATTTTTTTAACAGCGCTTCTCTCCCGCAAGAAATGTTCATTTACTGATTCCTCATATGCTATGAAGAAGTTTACATTTACATTTATGCATACAAAATACATTTAAGTATATACATGCATACATAAACTGTCACATAAATTACAGTTGCATGTGTTGAGAATAAAAAATCAGTTTATAACCAAAGCAGCACAGAAGAGTTCTCTCACGATGAAATGAGTGGAACTTTACACGCTGTAGAATACTTTAAAAACTTTTAGAGTTGCTGCCATAGTAAAAAATGGAAATGAATTTTCGCTCATTTAGAAACTAGACACAAATTGTGGGTTACTTTAAAACTAACCATGAATTTTTAGGCAATATAAAAATTGTAATGAAAAATTAACTTTTTGAAAAAAAAACTAGTGTTCGCCCAGTGGTTGAAACTCTACCACTAAAATTAAGGCGAGTTGTAATGAGTTAAGGGGAGTTGAGTTGTGTTAAAGTAAAGTGAATTGAAGCGAGTTCAGTGCGGTGTGAGGTGAGATAAGGTGAGTTAAGGTGAGATTAATTGAGTTGAAATGAAATGATGTTAGTTAAGGTGAACTAAGAGGTTAGTTGAGGTGAAATGCGTTGAGCAACATAACATAACATAACACAACATAACATAACATAACACAACTTAACTTAAGATAAGATAGCATTGCATAACATAACATAACATTTCAGTTCTATCTTTTTTTTAGCCCCTATGATGATTCAAAGCTTTGAAGATAGTTGAGTTGTAAGTTGTAAATTGGTACTGTGGGACACAACTCAACTCAACTTTGAAAACGTAGTTGTCTGTCAGTTGTCATCAGGAAAATTAAATGACGTTTTAAAAAACAAAAAATTTATGTTCAGAAAGTAGAAAAAAAAGACGTACAGTTTTTCAATTACCAAGAAATTATGTTAAATTTTTATTTTCATGTATTTCACTATATTTCTCTTACTGCCGGTTTCATCAGCCAAACCATTTTTGAACCAAATGGGACTATAAAAATGGGGATTTCAAATATCTCGACTTCTGCGCCACCTGTCGGATAAACTCATCTCTCATTTTGCAGTTTCATAGATTTCTGAGTTAAGTTTGAAGTTTCAAGTCTCTAGTTGGTTGTAAACTGTTGCAAGATTTGAGCCGTTTATTTGGAAAGTGGCATAACTCACTTCACAGCTCTTGCGCTTAAATGACCGGTTACTTGTATATATCTGAACGCGTCGGTTATTCGCTCAACTTCATCAACCAAAGGTGGAAGGCTTTGCCGTTAGTTTATGACGATAGACCGATTTACAGATGCATTCGCTTACAAGTAGCCGGTAATTTAAGCACAAAAGGTACGAAGTGACTTATGCCACTTTCAAAATAAACGGCCCATTTGACTCAAACAAACATACATACATACGTGCATAGCAAGTTAAACAAAAGCCTTAAACAATATGCCTTAATACCCGAGTAGAACAGTTGTCCAGGGTATAAATATTAACTGCCAAATGCAACACTAGGCCAGAATGCAGTTCAAACGACAACAGCAACAACACTAAAATTGCAGCATAGCATTAAAAATTATAACAAAAACACTTACTACTGCTGGCAGCTAGCCAGCTATGTAAGCACAGAAAAAGCTTATAGTTACCAGCTCGCAAAGCTTCCTCAAATCGGCCGCTCAGCGTTGCTCATTTGCTGCGTCACTATTGTCGTTGTTGTTGTGCAGCATGGTTGCTCAATATGCGCTATGAAGGCAGACGCTGCTACCACCGTTGCAGAGTACTTCAAATGTTTGAATTTTGAGCTTTCAATGCTTTTGCTATTTTATTTTTATTGTTTTTTTTTTTTTTGTATTTTAGTCAACTGAATTTTGCAGTTGACGCTATCTACGATTGTTACTGTTTTTATAGTAGCTTATTTTGTAGTTGTAGTTATTTATTTTTTGTGGTGTGTTGTTGTCGCAGTTGAGCAAAATAACAAAAAAACGCTTGTCGTTTGTTTTTTGGATTTTGATATAAAAACTATAAATAAACGTACTTGCAGCTCATTTCGAGATTTGCAAGCGACGCGTTCGCAACTTGGTCGGGAAAATAGAAAAAAAATTAAATAAAAACAATTGCAATAAATAAAAATTAAATGTAAATCAAAAAAACTAGTTTAGTGTGTTGGTGTTGGAATAAATAAATAGCAAATTGTCACGATTTTTCGGTCATCAAGAGCTCGATATTCGATTATTTTCGCGCTATAAGTAGTTATAAAATTTAAAAAAAAAAAAAAAATCAAATAAAATTTAAAAAATTTTGTGTGAACGTGAAAACAAATGAAAATTAGCAAAAAGTTAAAGCAATTAATACTACTATTCTTTGTTCAATCCAAAATTCGCAAATTGAAAGTTTTAAATTTTATGAACTCTATATTTTTTTTTTATTAAATAAAAAAAAGCAAATTATTTTTTTTTTTATATAACCAAACTAGAATTTAAGAACTTCCAAATTTTCCCAACCAAAACCGCCAATTGCAATGCATAAATGTTATTTTTTCTATCTTGCCGCCATTGCGGCAACACTCGGAAGTGCAACCGCTGCTACAACAACAACCAAAGCTAGAGCAGTATCGGACAATTTAGAGGAATACACAACAGTCGCCGTGCTGCCATCGGCATTAGCAGCCACCTTAGCAGCAGCGCCAGCACCAACAACACCACAAAATGCAGCTGCAGCAGCAGCAGCAGCAGCAGCAGCAGCAGGGCCAGCACCATCACCATCGCTACCAGTTCCTCAAGCTGCGCCCCAAAAGCCCAGCGTTGGCGTGCTGGCCTACGATAAAGTCGGCATTAGCGATGGCGTGGAATTTAGTCCAAGTGAGTGAATACAGATTATTTTGTGCAAAAAAAAAAAAAAAAACGAACGTGTTTTTAAAAAAATATGTTGTGTGCGAGCGTGTATGTTTGCATGTGCGTGTGCATTACAAAGTTGTTGAAGTGAGCCTTTTCGGCAAATTTTCTTGTTTCTGCGTTTTAGCGATTTTATTTCTAAATACACGAGCAAATAGTTGCCGCATTATGCCACACCGAGTTTATGCAATTTTTATTTACGCGAAAGAACTTGAAAATCGAAATGTGAAAAATCATTGCGTATTGTTAGGTACATACATACAAACTTAAATGCTTCGATGACAGCGACTTTGTAGGCAAAATTGGCAAAGCGCGTTCGTTGCTTAAGTCTTTTGTTTACTTCATTTTGTTGGCATTATTTTAACGCGAGAAAGGTGTAACTAATAGTTAAGTTTTTTTTTGTGTGTGAAATATGTAGCCATATTAAATTGGGTATTAAAAGTAATACTGCATTTGTTGTTGTAGGAAGTGCCTAATTTTGTTTAAAAGGAAGTAAATTAAGTAAATTCATTGTTGTATAAGTAGATTAAAATATATCAAAACTCAATGAAGTGGCGAACATAAAAATTTAATGTAGTTAATAAATACATAACTGTAATGATGCCGGCATACATTTTAAATGGAAAATCTATAATTTATTCGGCCTTCGTACCGCCGACATATTTTCATCGCTTACATCTTTGCTAAGTGTTTGGCAGACCTTCGCCTCCTTTGTGGCGTGAGTCTTGATGTTTTACATGAATGGAGGTACCTACAGTTTTATGCCACCTTTGAACAGTAAATGGATTTTGATGAGAAGCTTTCTCATTGGCAGAAATGCACGCGGAGGTTTGCCATTGCCTGCGGAGGGGCGGCGACCGCTGTTAGAAAAGCTTGATTATTTTTCAAAGGCTGACGAATGTTTTGCTGCAATTGGCTTCAAAAACCTGCAGTGAACTTGTGTCTTCTAACATATAAAAAATTTTGGGTTGTGTTCACTCTGTGAAAAGGTATAGTGTCTTGAAAATTGGCGCTCGTCTTATTTAGGTATTTTATTATCGAAAAGAGATAAATGGGATTTATGGTGACGAGCGCTTAAATGAATGCCAAAATCAAAATTGGAATTTCAATGCCAAATGAACCTCGTCATTGTTGTTGTTCTTCTTCAAAGGTGCAAGATGCTAGTCTCGTTATTTCATTCAGTTATATCGATAAAGAACTAAACATGGATAGAATAAAAATTTCACAATATTAACGTGAAGATGGATACTAAAAGAAGCTAGTTATTAGGATTTTACGTGAAAAAAAAAAATCTGCGGCTGCATATGTACCATGTATGTACCTTAATTCATAAAGGCCCTAACCAACACTTTTTCCGAAACTGCGCTTTTAACAGATTTTGGTAGGATGTATTAAAATACACCTTCAATAAAAATGTTAATGTGTTAGTACCAAAAACAACGGAGTTACATGCCACTTTTTTTAAAGAATTCAAAGGAAATTCTACAAAACTGTTTTTCACCCAATCAAGAAAGCTGTTGTATAAATAGTCAAACAGAAATTAAAGTAATATTAATTTAATTTTTTTTAATAAAAACTTTAAAATTTTTTAGAGTTGTAGAAACTTTTTTACTCCAAACTGTATGTTATTCAGTTAGTTCTAACACAGAGTATCGTCAGTTACCGTTCAAAGAACGTGTGTCATGTCTAATTGAATAGCCCCGTGCGGGATCTGCCACAGCAACCTTTATGGTATTCAAAGCTCAAACTATAGCCGAAAAATGTCTCTAAAATGGTGATGGTTTTCGCCTTCCCAGTGTGCAAAGCCTTTCAGGCTTTTTATACATTTTTTATTGATATGCAAGGGGTAAAAGCTCTCTCCTCTATCTGGTACTGATCTAGATAAGCGACTGAAGAGAGCTTCTACTCAGTGCGTTCGTAAAAAATCGATAGTAGTTTAAAATGTTTTCCCCGCGGGATATGATTTGTTCGGTGACAGGTAATAAGATCCACGGAAACAAGGTCAATTGACTTTATTTCCCACCCTGGTGCGTTCTCCTTGGCTGCTTTTAAATGATGTCGCCACAAATTGCTGGCGGAGACATGAATACAGTAGTGTAAGAAAATTCCTTTTCTATAGGATACATTATTTTTCATATCGCACACGAAATTTGGTGACACACCTTCGATTGGCTTCAAATTTTTTTTATGGGTTCTATACATGAAATAAGCTAACACGTATTCGAGGAAATTTTTTTATTTTATTTTTTTTCAATGACCTTATTTCCAAATATTTGTTGACTTTATTTCACTTTTGAAAAGGTAATAATGTCATTTGACTTTATTTCGCAGCAGGGTGGGAAATAAAGTCAATTAACCTTATTTACGTTGATATTGTTACCTGCAACCGATTCGTTCGTGACTAGTCTAGATTTATCTTAGCGCCTTAAGCGTATGTAGATGACTCAGGAAAAAACCGCCGCGACCAAAAGGGAAAGCTTAATAGCTCAATTCTGTATCGGTGCCAAATTTTTTTTTTTTTTACTGACAAATTTAAAATTTACGCATATATTTTTCCGTATAAAAAATTCGATAAAAACTTTGATATTTTAATAATATTATGTTATTAATGTCATTAATGGTTAGCAGTGCGCGCTACCATTCCGCAGAGCCTGGATTGAAGCCCAATTTCCGACCAACATAAAAAAAATAAAACAAAAATGTTTTTTCTAATAGCGGTCGCTCCTCGACAGGCCATGAAAAACAGCTTTTCATATAAATCGACGTAGAACTGCAGGTGCCTCCCTTTTGTACGACAACATCAAGGCACACGCCACAAATCGGAGGAGAAACTCGGCCAAACACTAGAACATTGTGCGATGCGTCACTATATTAGTATTATTAATTCATTTAAAAGTCCGACTCTTTCGAGGTAAGATATCTCATAATTTTCGCAAAACGCGATGACGTAGATTGACATCTCAATCGGCGCTTAATACTACGAAAAGGTTGCTCTTCTACTTCAATAGTTGTGGAAATCGTAGTCGTAATCGAGTCATTCGATGAATCCGAATCATCACTAATTGTAATGAAAATATTTTCCTTTGCTGCTGAATTGCCTCCACTGTTCCACTTCACGATTGGTTTGGCAACGGTTGCTGCACATTCTGTAGGGGATGGTGGTATATTGGCGCCATTGTTACTTAAACAAGTAACTGTTTCAAAATTGTCTGGCGATGGCGTACGCGTACCACTACTGTAAGTAACTGAATCGCGACGGCCTTTATCAAACTTTTTATGAAGGTATACAATTTCTGCTTCGGTTTCTTCCGCTATAATTTTCAGCGCTGATGTATCGATCGATGATTCTTTTCCGTTGTTCGGCATTATCGCTAGCGATTAATTAAAGCAGCAAATTAAAAGAACCACTGCGATCTTCGGCATCTAACTCATGACAGCTCGTTAACCGTATTAGCACTGATTTTTGTAGCGACATTGCCAGGCATTTAAGCAGATCCTGTTGTTTTCAGAATATCCTAATGCTGCGTGCAAAATAAGTATGTAGGTAGCATTGGTGATTAACGATTTAAGGCTGGTTTAGTGGTTGTTTGCACCGCTCTAAGGAAAATGACCAATGAACGAAGCGTAAACAGCGCGGCAGGTAAATCGGATGTAACGAAACTTAGCCACTTGAAAAACATCACATTTTATTGTTTTGAACAGCATAGTAAACGATAATAACAAACCCGCCGAGAATATTAGCGTGTGCGAAAAACAAGATTAGCATCAAAAATACTAGTTACATATGCAATATCTCGCCAACTTACAAATGAGTATTTTAAGATAAAAAAACAAGTCATAAATACCCTTTGCCGCCCTTGAATTGACATTTTGTGACAGCATTACAAAGAAAAGGCAGGTAACGGTTGTTGTGGCGCGTAAACACCTATTGTTTTGTTAATATGCGACAAAAATGGTATTTCATTCTTATATACATGTTAAGACATGACCAAAATTAAATTGTGTTTCTTTTTTTAGACGTCCTTGATATTTCTAGGCTTAAAGGTGTAAAAATCGAGGTAAAATTGAATGCCGCGTCGGTGGAGGACGGAGGAAGAGCTACGAAAATAATCAATTAGCTCCTTATGCTATAGTATATTTAAATTCCTAAAACTGAGGGGATAAATTTTCAACTAACTAATAAATTAAAAACATTTGTACGAACTTTCATGATCAAAAGTTGTTGCGTTTGTTATTCGGCAGCTTTTCGAGTTCGTATTTTGTTTAAGTGACACATTTGGTACAAGTTTGAGCTTGTATGCAATTATAACCTTGTCGCTTTCATACCTAACCTATGCTTTGTGTGCAGAAAAGAGATGACCGGTTTCAAGTTTGATATGCCCAAGTCCGGCCATTTTCTGCTGCTCAACAGCAATCGTTATTCAGGTACCTGAGTAATATTTCGTTTACTACTATGAAAGGTTTTACCCTGAGTTCCTTTTTAATATTCCCTACCTAATAATCCGTTATGCAAGTTTGTATGTAAGTACATTTATTCACAAAATAATAGGAGTGCAATATTTTGACCAACTTTGAAAATTCTTATTTTTACTTATTTTTTTTTTTTTTAATATAACAAGTGCAATACACAAAAACTGGCCTTGATTTTTTTCAGATTTTGTTGAGAACGGTCTCCCGCATTTCATTTCATAAGAAATTCATGATTATGTGGAAAAAACAGCAAAAATCCTAATAATAAAAAAAAATATATTAAAAATCGCCGCGTAAAATTAGACTAAAATTGTATGGGCTATAAAACGGCATATCATAAAATTTCTAAAAATTCAGATTAAAAACCTTAATGCAAATTTGTTAAATTTTCCTAAATTTTGTATACAGTTCCAAATTTTTATTTATGTATATGGATTTTGTTAAACCTTCTATCAATCAATCAAAAATCAACACGTGGTCACTTGTTTGGGTCACTG